TCCTCCGTCTCGGTGCATCTCACCCGCCTGCTCTCGCCTGCAGCCTGCGGGCTCCGGCCCCTGGCGTCGGACTACGCGGGCATGCGGATCGTGGGGGGCGCGGACGCCCTGCCGGGGGCCTGGCCCTGGCTCGTCAGCATCCAGATCCCCGCGCGGGAGGGCACGCGGCACTCGTGCGGCGGCTCCCTCGTCAGCCCGCGCTGGGTGCTCACGGCCGCACACTGCTTCAAAGCCAAGGGCAGGTGAGCGGCCAAACCGGGGGGGGGTTAGCCTTCCTCTGCGGCGGGGGCACGGACGGACGCGGGCCTGACCCAGCCCTCGGCACTGATGCTGTCCCACGTGCATGCACGCGCAGGGTGCTGCCGCAGTGGCGGATCGTGGCGGGCGTGACGGAGCTGTCGCACCTGACGGACCTGGCGCAGACGCGGGGGGTGCAGCGGGCCGTGCTGCACCCGGCCTACGACCCGCGCCGCGAGGCCAACGACATCGCGCTCATCCGGCTCGACCGCCCCGTGGCCTTCAACGACCTGGCGCAGCCGGCCTGCCTGCCCAGCGCCCACATGGCTGTCGCCACCTTCGCCCCCTGTTACGTCAGCGGCTGGGGCGTCACCGACGAGAAGAGTGAGGCCCCGAGGGGAAGGGGCTCCTTCTTACCCCACGGGGCCAGCTGCGCCCTCCTCCCAGGGGCAGGAGATGCACGGTGTGCGCACACGTGTATGCACATGCACATGCCAGTACGGCTGTGCATGGAGGGCACCAGGGACACGGGGCTGAGACCAATGCCTGCAGGGGACCGGAGCCACGGCCTCAAGCTGTGATGGGAGCCGAGCCCAGGAACAGGCCCCCGGTAGCGCGGGGCAATGCTCGCACGGGCAGGTTGGCCCGATGCCAGCTGCCTGGTTTAGAGCGGGCTGCTCACACGATCCTTAGCTGGGGGGCGAGGGGCTGTGTGGGCTGCTGAGGGCTTGCAGGGCTTGGGGAGTGGGCTGGCAGGGGCTCGAAAGCCTGAGGGGTGGTGCTGGGGATCCCTGGGTCCCACTTCTGCCTCCTAAATGAAGCCCAAAGGCTCCGGGAGCCGGGTCAGGGCTGCAGCTCCCAGCGCCTCGGTGGCCCAGGGAACCCCTGGGGCGGGGGCCGCGCTGACGTCCCTCCCTGCCCGCAGGCCAGAAGCCCTCGGACATCCTGCAGGAGGCCCAGGTGCACCTCATCGACCTGGAGACCTGCAACGGCAGCCGCTGGTACAACGGGGCCATCACCGCGACCCAGCTGTGCGCGGGGCACGAGGAGGGCGGCATCGACAGCTGCCAGGTGCGTGGTGCTGGCTCAGCCCCGGGGCCGCCGCCGAGCTCCGGCCTCCAACGGCCGCGCCGGACTGCCTCGGCTTCCCTGCCACGACCCGGCAGAGGACGGGAGCAGCGCAGAGCACCACGGGTGCAGCTGGGATGGGGGAGTGGGCACGGGTGGGAGACGGCGTCTTTCGCCACGAGCCCCTGGACCAGCATCGGTAGCATCGGGCTGACGTCCGGGATGGAGCCGGGGCCGCTCCACATCAGGGTGCAGAGGAAGCTGCTTTGCTTTGCTTTGCTTGCGCTGCCCGGCAGGACGGACGCCCCCGAGCCGGCGGCTCTGCTGCCTTTCTGCAAGAAGGGAGCTAGCGAGGACACCGTCAGCCACGGAGGGGGCCTGGATTTCCTCATACGGCCCTGAGCAAGAGAGACGTTGTAGGACGAGCCCCAGCTGTAACCCAGAGGGAAATGGAGACGAGGAGCTCCTCAACCGGGCGCGTGAAACGGGAGCGGAGATGGGGCCACGATGACGGCTTGAAGGCCAGACGCAGGCCGGGCCTCGTTCCTCAGCACGGGCGACGGTGCCGTCCCCGGGGTTCGAGGCCAAATGGACGCCAGGAACGAGGGTCCAGATGTGCTGCTCCCAAAACAGAAGCGAGGCGCTGAGGGCTGAACCTGGGCCCCGAGCGCTGGACGGGGGGACGGGGTGCAAGGCCAGAGCCGGAGGCTCGAGAAGGCGGGAACGGGGCTGCTGAGGCCGGTCGTGCCAGGCTGGGAGGAGGCAGCCGGCCGGCAGATCCCTCCCCGCCCCCGGAGCGGTGTCACCCGTGTCCCTGGGCACCGGTGGGCATGTGCCGTGGATGTGGCTGGGAGGCGGGGGGCAGGAAAGGCCTGGACCGGCTTCCCCAGGGGAGCAAGCCCCGGGGCACGGCTCCGGCGTCAGTAATGCTGCTGAGGCCGGTCGTGCCAGGCTGGGAGGAGGCAGCCGGCCGGCAGATCCCTCCCCGCCCCCGGAGCGGTGTCACCCGTGTCCCTGGGCACCGGTGGGCATGTGCCGTGGATGTGGCTGGGAGGCGGGGGGCAGGAAAGGCCTGGACCGGCTTCCCCAGGGGAGCAAGCCCCGGGGCACGGCTCCGGCGTCAGTAATGTGCCCGCTCCCCGCAGGGCGACAGCGGGGGACCCCTCATGTGCCGCGACGAGCTGACGGACCGCTACTACGTGGTGGGCGTCACC